TGGGCAGCAGCTGCCTCCCACTGTGGGAAGAGAAAGCCTGCCTCTCTGGGTGAGGAAGGGTCCCTCTTCATAGTTGACAGCAGGCCAGACCGCCAAGGTGCACCCCAGGGTATATGTGTGCGTCACCCAAGGTGCAGTACAGCCGCATAGTGCTCAAGCAAGTGAGGCTGTGTGTGTAGGAAGCCTCGTCTTGTAAGAGCTGAGACACCTCCGTATCCTTTGAGGGGAAAGTCAGACTAGCGACTGGAGCTACAGGAGAGGAAATGAGGAGAGAAGGAAGCAGCAGAGTCTGAGCTGGCAAATTTCCCTGTCAGCGCTGGGAGTGAGAGCTGCGGTGAGCCCTGGGCCCTCAGGGCCCCCGCACTCCTCCTGTGCTTTTTAGGCCCTCCCCTGTGCCCCTCTCTTACCCTCGTTGCTGTGATTTATTTGGCTTCTCTTTACCTCTGTTCTCTCTCTTCTCTCCTGCTCCCTCTCCCCCTTGCTCTTTCTTCTTCTAGCTCTCCCTGTTCCTTTTTCTCTACACACTTTTGTCCTGCTCCTTCTCTTTCCTTTTAGTTCTTCCTTTGTCTCTCTTCTGCAGCCTAGCGCTATTTTTTCCCTTCTCCAGTTCTTTGTCCTGTCTCTTTTCACCCACAAATTCCCTGTTCAGTTCCCTGGTGTTCCTTTCCTGTCGGTGCCTTTCTGTGCTGCTCTGTGTCCCTGCCTTCCTAATTCCCTGCCTTCTTCTCTTCCTCCCTCTGACCAGTAATCTCACTCACACCCCTAATCCTGTATCGTTCTGTCCCCATCCTCCACCTTGATTGCCTCATCCTCTCTTGGACCCTATGAGCTGCTCCCTGTCTCAACTATGGACTGTTTAATATCTCAAACTTGTTCTCTATCCCCATGTATTCTCATGTTCCATCTCCCTCTCATTCCCTCTGTTGCTCCTCTTGGTTCAAGGCCAGCATCCTGCTCCCTGTCCAACTCTCTTTTGCTGTCTGCTGGACAATGACGGGAAGGCAGTAGATGTACATTTATAGATTCTAATAAAGGTTTTTGATACTGTCCCTCACAGCATTCTTCTGGACAACTTGTCCACCTGTGGGATAAGCAGGTTGACGGTGCACTGGGTGAAGAAGTGGTTGAAGGGCAGAGCTCAAAGCCTTGTAGTGAAGGAGGCTCCATCTGGTTGGAGACAAGACACCAGGGACGTTCCTCATGACTCAGTTCTAGGGCCAGCTCTGTAAAGCATGTTATCCACGAACTGGACGGAGGAGTTGAACATACAGTTAGCAAGTTTGACAAGGGTACCAAACTGGGAGGCGCCGATGACTCTAATCCTCTGTCTGAGAGATCAACATCAGAGTAAATTCTCTTTCCACGATCTGTCTATGAGAGGACCCAAACTATTCTACTTTAGCAGCTAACATAGAACCAACTCATTCCAAGGCGTCATCCTGAGGAGGAAAAGAGCAAGATTTCAGGCACTGAATATGATGAGAGGGAAGGAAGATTTTTGAAAGGAAGAGAAGAAAAAAAGAAGCCTGGAACAAAACCCTTGAGAGAGCTTCTAAAGAACAGGGAGCATGTCAAAGGCAGATGAAACATGGAACCAGAAACCAGACAATTGTTTCTTCTCGGAGACTAGAACAAACTACCACTAGACAGATCATTTAAAGGTGAAAAAAGTGCTTTTTCCACCTTGCAAATAAATAGTTAGCAAGGCAAATGCCTCAGTGTGTGCATGTCTTTCTATTTATTGCATGATTTTTGCACAAGTCTGTGTCTCATACCAGTAAAGAATTAAAGCAATGGCCCAACGTGCCTTCTGAAACCAAAGCCTTGCATTCCAGCACGTCCAAGTTCCTCGCACAAGCATTGTGAAAGCGCTGAACTAAACAGCTACTTACGCTAGAGTCAGGATAAGCTACTGATATGACATATTCTGGCAACAGGAAAATGTCCCCTACCTTTCTTCCCCATCTGTGAACATACTACGCCTGGTAGAAGCCAGCCCTGCTGTGAGCAGGAGGTTGGGATCATTTTCAAAGTACGTTAACCTGTGCACATTGAGACTGGTTGTATCCTGCAGGGGAGGTGGGCTGGAAACTTAGAAAAAGGGAAAAAAAAACCCTCTAAACCCAAAGTTAAAAAAGGCATTGTAACAAGGGAAGCCAAGCTTGAAAGGCCACCCTCGGCACATGGCGTTGCCAGCCCCTTCTCCTGGTACAGCAGTGAGCAGCAACTGCTTGCAGGCATCAGCTAGCAGGCACCAGTGACAGGTGGTGCATTTGCTGCCAGGTTGAGAGAAGGCTGAAACACATCACCGAGAGAACTGAAGACAGGTAGTTGTCCATTTCTCGGTCAGAATGAGCCTGGGATACACAGAGCTTTAGCACTTTGTTTCTGCAATTGTCTTCCAAGTCGACACATGATGGTGCTGCAGTCCTCGTGCTGCAGAGCAGCCCTGGCTAAACAGTCCGCAGAAACTGTCTGCAAGAGGGGTTTCACTGGACTAGTTCTAAGGATGTTAACACCATTAGAGGCTAACAAAAGCCTGTGGGTGTTTGACAGGACATGCTTTCAGAGTGATCTGTCTTTCACCTGGGCTAACACCTTCCTGTCAGAGAAGCTTAGGAGATAAAAGCGGAGGAAAAGCAAGGAAACCAGTAGAGTTTCCTCTTCTTTACCATTAGCGAGTTTGTCAAGGGTACCAAACTGGGAGGTGCCGATGACTCTCTTGAAGGACAGGAGGCCTTGCAGAAGGATTGAGACAGATTGGAGCAATGGCCAGTCATCGACGGGGCGAAATTTAACAACTCCGAAGACCGGATTTTGCACCTGGCACGGCGCTATGGCAGGCACAAGCATACCTGGGAGAGGAGTGGCTGGAGAGCATCCCCGCAGAAAGGGATGCAGGGGCGCTGCCTGACAGCAGGCTCAGCGCGAGCCAGCAGCGTGCGCCCTGGCAGCCGAGAGGGCAAACGGCACCCGGGGCTGCATCAAAGACGGCAGAAGCGGCCGGGCAAAAGAGGGGGTTATCCCGCTGTATTCAGCGTTGCTGCGGCCTCACCTTGAGTGCTGTTGGCAGTTCTGGGCCCCACAAACTGAGAAGGATGTGAAGGTCCTTGAATGTGTCCAGAGGAGGGGCAACCAAGCTGGTGAAAGGCCTGGAAGGAATGTCCTGTGAGGAGCAGCTGGGGACGTGGCGTTGGTCTAGTTTGGTGAGGAGGAGGCTGAGGGGGGACCTCATTGCTCTCTACAGCTTCCTGAGGAGAGCAAGGGCAGGGGGAGGTGCTCAGCTCTTCTCCCTGGTGTCCAGGGAGACGCTGTGTGGGAATGCTTCAAAGCTGCACCAGGGGAGCTTTAGGGTGGACATTAGCATGCATTTCTTTACCAGCACTCTATGGGAATGCCATTAGTACAGCCAGAGTTCATTCTCTCAGGGTGTGCTATTTCAGCACCTCTTGGCCTTGCAGGGCCCATGCAAAGAGGAAAGCAAGCTCTGAAGATGCCCTGCCTTGGAGTGCTTCGTTTCCAAGCGTGACGCACAATGCAGGTTTTAGCTGACCGAGTAGACAGGGTTGCAAGTCCTGGCTCCTGACAGGCTGTCTTCTTCCTAACAGCCTCTGGAGAGGGGGCACTCCTGGCAAGGGAACTCGTCTCTAGCCTCCCTCTGCCTGCTGCTCCAGCAGAGCCACGTCTGCACAGGGGCGAGGGCCTGTCTCTTTACACCTGCCCGGCATCAAAATGTTGGGATTCTTTCGCTGAGTCGACATAGCCTGGCAGCTTTCTGCCCTCATTTCACTACTTTTGCAGACCGATCCATGACCAGGCATATGCTGGAGGATTGTTTTCTATCCTGCCGTTTATTAATTTAAAAGAAAACCACAAAAAGAAGCTCCTTTGCAGCTGAATAACCTCATCAGGAACTTCATCCCCCCACCGTTGCAGGTGGTTTCAGCTGTGCCCAGCACGTGGCCACCAAGGGCAGGGACAGCCCCTGGGCCTCGTGGGCACAGCGACTGCCTCGGGGCCAGCACCCCAAAGGCTTTCTCCAAAGGGGGGTGGGCGGGGCTGCGCGTGCGGGGCCCTGTCAGTCACCCCCAGGTCACAGTGCCACCCCCATGGCACAATGCCACCCCCGTGGAACAATGCCATACCCATGGCACCGTGCCAACCAACCCCATGTCACAATGCCACCCATGGCAACGCAGCCGTTGCCGTGCGCCGGGGCAGTATAAAAGGGGACACCCGCCAGTGTCCAGCTGCCAGAGCTGACCGGGGGCAGCCCAAAGACATCTGAGAGGAAGCCCTTGAGGAGAGCGGGGGATTACTGGCAGGGGGCTGAGGGAGGAAGACTGCAGCCTGGTCGAGGCTGTGGAGGTTCTCTGCTGCAAGGCCAGCTCCTGGCAGGGCCACCTTCAAATCTCATCTGATGGATGGAAATCCACCTTCAAGCCTTCCGGGAGCAGATGCAAGTCCCTCAGGAGATGAGAACAACCACCAACCTCTCGAGGTGCCCCAGGCTCTCAGGCCCTTTCCGCTGCTGTGGCCAGCCCCAGGGAGGGACACCGTGAGGAGCACTGCAGAGCTCGCCGGCCTCATCCCCTGCAGAGCCAGGGGCAGCAGCCGTAAGAAATGGGATGGATGCAGGGACGTTGCCAGGGCTCCCAGTGCTTTGGAGAGCCCGCTAGACAGGCACAGG